AAACCTTAGGTCACTCGTTTCAATCGAACTTTTGAATAGATTTACTTCGTTCTATCTGGTTCATAAGTGATGCCTAACGGTTGCTCTCGTGAAATGATTGCATTTCTTCTTCTATATACATGACTGTTTAATCCACGGTTGGACGGAATGGTTGACCTGTTGACGGGTCCTTAACTGGCAACAGTATTTCACGACCTAACTATCCCATATTCCGGTGTACCTCTACTATACACACACACCTCGATAAAACGCGTGAGCTGAAATTCATTGGAACATGTCAGGTGTAAGCAAAACAACTCCTACTCGGTTACTCCAATTACAATATTCTAAATTAATGTAACCACTCACTCAAGATAGTGGCCGACAATCGTACAGCTCCACAGGCATGATGCTACTCCCTAGTGCCCTACGTTGGAATGTTTCTGTTATACGCACGTTCATTGCAAACAAACCCACCGGGAGGTGGGTCTACCATCCTGTTTGGACGTCATATCGCCTCACCGAGGGGTTGATGCAAGTGCAACAGAGCAAGCAAATTGGTCGTGTAGCAGTGGGCAGTCGCTTAGAAATTTGACCGTTGACCGTGTAGCTCGTTGGTAGGCGGTTCAACTCCAAACCCACGAGATTTTTGGGTCCCCGTACATCATCGCTTATTTGGAAATGTCTGCGTGAAAAATTCATTCTCACATCAAATTTGAATGACTAGGATTGACCGGGTGGGACTCGTGTTGTCTACATTCGACAGTCGTCGGTTTGCATCTGCCGCTCCAGGTTAACGGAAATTGAATGAAGTTCAACGCAGATCATGTACATATGAGGTGTACAGAACTGCACAACTGGAGAGGATACGAGGATTTGCGGGCGACGAACGACGAAAGGGAACGGCGGTAGGGATGTCCCACTCGAGTTGGTGAGGAAACACTGGTATACTAGTCTTCCGTTGAAATTAAACCTGCAGGGTAAAGCAACCAAAACACCATGAACCAAAAAGGTCCAGATACAAGCACTTACGATAAAACATTACTGGTGTGGTTGCCACTGGTTACCACTGGTTACTTGAAGACAATAAGTCGCACGGTGACAAAATGGGTACTAGTGATGGCGTTTTCGTTTCCATCTCTGATCAGGTCAGAATGATTAC